TTTTTGGCAGCTTCCGATCCCGTCCAACTGCATTTCCCAGACTCATCTTTGAGGAGTCTTGAATTCCTTTGACAATCTGTACAAAGTGTAACCTTCCCAAAATAAACATATGCACAACATTCTGTGTATAATTCAGGGAGTTCATGGACTGCTCGAAGCCCTTCTGTGTTTTCTGGATCCTTGAGCCCTAAGAATTAAGAACTATTTGCCACTTGAACTAGAATAATGAGGATCAAGTCCAGATGTGCTCACTGGCTACTGGAGAGTCTCCCATTTTATATTAATGCAACCACACGGCCATTGATTATTAGTTTGTTCTTGCTCGGGCAGCCTCCATCGTGTTCTCGAGCATGTAACGTAGGCTAGACCATAATTTTGTACTCCTTTGCTCTGGTTTAGGCCCTTTGTCTGGATTTTGATTTTGGAAATCCTGTTTTGACCTTTTGGTATCCGTGCTCCTACATTGGCAAGATTTAGAGGGGAAATCAAATTTTCTAATCATGTTCATTTTCAAGGTGTCAATAACATCACTGTGTTCTCCTTCTGACCTTAAGAAATTAGAAAATGTAATTTCTCCCGCTTTAACCTGGTCTAGCCTGCTGTGAGTTAAATGTGCTGTCAGTTTCTTCACACCAGACTTTCATCTGACTCTATTATGGAAGATTAAAGCAACAACCTGTGCATGAACTAAGGTAACCTGACCCTGCTACTTTAGAAGACCAGGCAAGCACAGCGTAAAAGTTAACTTCTGTTGGTTAGCGGAATCTCCATTTTCCAGATGGGAGAGATTAACATCCACCCTAACATCACTCAACCAGCTGACCATGTGTATCACAGGAGGGCTCACTCACCACTGTCTTGCAGATTTCACCTTACTATGCCTAAGGCTTGTATGTTATAATTTGACTCCCTCCAGTAGTAACTTGTAGTAACTTTCCTCCATCCACTTCGGCAGAGTCTCCTTTCTCCCTAAATTGTTTCCACCTTTGGTGTTTGTACAAACTCACTGGAAAAATACGTCAAATCCAATGGGGCCAGAGGTGGTTTGATTTTCATATATCCTTGACACAGCTGTTCTAAACCTTGATTCTAGGAATCTCTAGACCAGCAGTTCTCAACCTATGGGTCGTGACCCCTTTGGGGGTTGAATGACCCTTTCACAGGGGTTGCCTAACACCATCAGAAAACACATATTTCAGTTATGAAGTAGCAATGAAAGTAATAATAATTTTGTGGTTGGGGGGGTCACCACAACATGAGGAACTATATTAAAGGGTTGTGGCATTAGGATGGCTGAGAACCACTGCAAAGATATATGATTCCTTAAAGATTAAAGCTTTCTCTCTGTCCATATATCCATCCTAGTAGATCCTTAAGAGTGAACCCTCTTCTGGTTGGAAGCACAGATCTCTTGAGAAAATCTCTTCCTTCCAGAACAGAATTCCCCTAAGGATCTGAAGGCCCTTGTGGGTGGAACTGCCCACTTCTGATCAGAACATGATAGTAGGCCAGAAGCGACATCCGTGGGCCAGTGCTAGAGGATAGCTTCCTCAATTGCCTGATTATTCTCTTTTTTTTGTTGATTTATTTACCTCTTTACTGTGTTTCCCTGGTCAGATCCACCATCGCCATCTCTTCTTCCCTCTCCTAACCTGGATTCTAGACTATGCCTTCTCTTTGTATTTCTTGTCTAATCTTTTGTATAATCCACCATATGACCCCTACCTGCCAGATGCCGTCAGCTTAACCCTACGTGTCTTATTTTCTATTAGTTACAATGGTGAACTCTAAAAGCTTAACAAGAATTAACAAAGTATTTCTATATTGAATGTAAATAATCTTAGAGGAGTCTTAAAAATTTCTCCCAGTTGGAAAACTCCACTCATAAGTAGATTTTGGCATTGTTCCTTACAGTGTTAAGAACAAGATACCTATCAATATTAATTTATAACTTTTTGTTACTCTTTATCATCATAAGAATTCTTTTTAGATGAGGTCGTGCACTGTCACTAGCACAAAACACAGTCTCCGAGTTTTGTTTGTTGTGTAAAGCTTTAACATGCATCCCCCCTGTGGGAAGTCCAAATCCATATGCCTTTGACCTGGCACCAGTAGGAGGAAGGTGTTAATTACTATGTTGCTATGAGGTTTATGAACTGGCATTAACATCTCAGCAGGAGCAAAGGTGGCACAATAGCAACTACTGAGAATGGGTGAAGAAAAGCATCATTACATACAGATTTATTTTCAGTAATGAAGCCTCATGCTTTTTATTTTAGTGATAGGGAACAAATATTATTGTTAAAGACCATCATTCGATTAGTACCATAACTATGTTGCCATCTTTATGATCTGCGTAATTAAAACACAAATACTTTACTTCTTGGTGTAGTAATTCAATGAAAGTACTTGGTTTATAAGTTAATTCATCTTGTAAATCTATTATAGCCACGCTGCAGTCAGCACATTTGAGGTTTAGCAAACCCAGCTGGATTTTGAGAGCCCTCCCAGCAGGGTTGAGAAACTAATTGCCTACAGTAATTTATTTACATTATTTAAAAAAAAAATCTTTCCAATAATTGCATATATATTGTTTTTTGAATGCAACAACTATACACTCCAAAGTTAGTCTTTACAGATTAATTATTTTGGCTGATTTTTCTGATGGAATCCATGCTAAGAGTACTGTTTAGGAACTCTGGTTTAGAGCCATCTGGGAAGCCTTAATGATAAATCTAAACATTTTACACCAGAGACTCTAGCAAAATTTCAGATATTATATCTTTAGTGAAAAATAATAAAGATTACATATATTTTAAAATGTTTTAGGAGCCACATACTTGAGATTTAAGGTACTAAATGCAGCTTTTTTTAATGAAACACAGTCATGCCTGAATTCTAATGTTAAATGAAAATAGCAAGGAATTAAAATGATAGGATTATAGTGTGGCTCCCGATTGGTTTAAGAAGAATGAGCAGAAGTGTTAGTAACAGCCTGTGCCAGTTTTGGCCAGATTGCTTAGTATACATCTGTGTATCTGATGAACAAAGACCAAAGGTATTTGCAAATATGGTGCCATCTGAATATAATTCTGCTTCTATGAAAAAGGGCTATTTTTTGGAATCGTTGTTATGGAAGGAAGAAATAACAACTTTAAAGTGGAAAGTTAATTGCTATTAATTACTGAAAATAGCCTTGGAAAAAAGTTAATTCAGATGTGTATAAGAAATAAAGACATTCCACATGAGATGGTGTAATCTAAATTATCAACATTTTTTTGCAGAGATTCTTATTCTAATAGAATATTCTTCTCTCAAATATTAATGTCCTAAGAGCACATATCACACGTTCTTCTATTTTAATCATGAAAATTGACTTTCTAAAGGTTAATTTTATAAACTTTATAAATGTTATTAACGGAGAATCAAATCTGCGGCAAAGTTTTTGAAGTAACTATAAATAATTTAGCAAGGAGTTATTTGTAAATTCCTTTTTTCATACTAGTCTCTGGTACCTCTTTATGGCATTAAAACCAAGTTTGGATTGCTGGTATACATTCTAATAAATAATAACTTCTTTAGAATTAACCAGGCCACAAAATAGTAAATAAAAAATTATTTCAAATAATGCAACACAAAACCAAAAATAGGTTTTCATATTCTAATTCAGTTTAATGCAATATCTATGGTAGTATAGTAATGAATTTGTTTTGTTTTGTTTTTGAGACAGTTTTGCTTTGTCACCCTTGGTAGAATGCCCTAGCGTCCTCAAATTCTTGGGCTCAAGTGATTCTCTTGCCTCAGCTTCCCTTGTAGCTGGGACTACAGGCACCTGCCTCAACAACCAGCTAGTTTTAGAGACAGGGTCTTGCTCTTGCTCAGGCTGGTCTTGAACCCATGAGCTCAGACAATCCACCCTCCTTGGCCTCCTAGAGAGTAATGAATTTGTTATGTATAAAATATCAAACTAAATTAAGAGAAAAAATGTTTAGGGAACAAAAGAACATTAGAAATACATTGGCCAGACACGATGTCTCATGCCTATAATCCTAACACTTTGGGAGGCCGAGGAGGGTGGATTGCTTGAATTTGGAGTTCAAGACCAGCCTGAGCAAGAGCAAAACCCTGTTTCTATTAAAAATGGAAAAACTGAGGCAAGAGGATGACTTGAGCCCAAGAGTTGGAGGTTGCTGTAAGCTATGACAGCATGGCACTCTACCCAGGGAGACAGCTTAAGAGTCTGTCTAAAAAGAAAAAAGAAAAAAAAATACTTCAGTTTCAAATATAATATTTTAAAGAAGGTAAATATCATGGTACATACTTTGTTTTCAAATAAGGAAACCATTCTAATGTATTTTTACATTATATTTATGATAATTTATCAATTAAATAATTATTTTTATTTTTTCTACTTAAGCATGGAGTACAATCAGAGATGAAAGCTCCTAAAGCCTTGGGTTCTTACTATTCAGTTTTACTTTCTCTTGAAGTAAAGTAAGACTTCTCTTACTCTTTACTCTTCTGAAGTAAAGTTCTTTTCACGGCGTCTTAAGTATCCAGCTCACCAATTTGCTCATCTTAGGCATTCTTCAAATATGGGGGGTTTTGTTTCAATAACAATCAATGAAATCACTTTGGGTCCTTAATCACAGGGTCGCCTGTGTGAACACTTTGTGCCAGGCCAAACACAAGACTGGTGTTAATTCAGTGCTTGCTAAATCTGAATTTAGTATCTTTATTATTACAGAATTTTCTTTGCCATAATGCCGATATTATATATAAGAAACAGGAAAAAAATGCAGCACCCATGATTCATCTTGCATGATGGCTGTGTTCTAAAGGTTAAATAGACATATAGTTTGTCTAGTTCCAGTTTAGACTCCAGTATTAAAGCTAGCAAATGATTGGAGTTCACGTTCTGCTTTTGCTGGGTTAAGTAGTAATCCTCACACAGTTTTGGCATCAAAATTCTGAATGATTTTTCTTCTTGTTGATGAAAGCTGAAAACAGAAAACTTTTTCACGAACAAGAGGTCGAAAAGTGCCTTGTCACCCTTTTGGGTTCTGAAAGTGATGGAACTAAGATTGCAGCTTCCCAAGCGATTTCGGCCATGTCTGAGAATTCAGCCAGCAAGGATTTTTTCAATAACCAGGGTAAGCAAGCTGGAAGCAAATTCTGTGAACAGTTTTAGGGTACCATGCGTTAGTGTACATGGGCCTTATCAGAGTCACCTTTCTCTTTCGGTAGGGATTCCACAGTTAATTCAGTTGCTAAAAGGTGACAGTGAAGAAGTGCGGGAAGCTGCCGCCCTGGCCCTGGCAAACTTGACCACCAGCAATCCTGCTAATGTGAAGTAAGTTCAAAACCCCTTACCCAACGCCGACTAGTCGGATAATTCACAGTCCAAAATGTTCTATTTTTAATATTTTGGCTTTCAAGATAGTTCGTGCATTTATTCAGATGATCTTTCTTGGATTATGAGTCATCAGATTAGCCTCTTTTCCAAAGATATTACAAAATCTTGACTGTTTCTGAGTTTGTTTGGAAAACATACCAGCCATTTGATTCAGGCAACAGGCTAACTCTTCTAGAAGCTTCAAATACAAATAAGACTGGATAAAGTTGGAACTATTAAAGATAGCATTATGTAAACATTTGACAAATTTAGAAAAATTATAAAAGATCCATTTTAAAGGGTTGTAAACTTTATATATATATACACACACACATATAATTATAAAATACACATATATAATGTTTACAGCTCTTAAAAGCCCTTTGTGTGTGTATGTGTATTTTATATATAAAACACACACACAAACGTTTTTTAAAGTCAATTAAAAGCAACATCTTGGCTTGGTGCCTGTAGCTCAGGGGCTAGGGCGCTAGCCACATGCACCTGGGCTGCCAAACAACAATGACAACTACAACAAAAAAAATTAGCCAGGCACTGCGATGGGCATCTGTAGTCCCAGCTACTTGGGAGGCTGAGGCAAGAGAATCGCTTAAGCCTAAGAGTTCGGGGTTTCTGTGAGCTGTGATGCCACAGCACTCTACCAAGGGTGACATAGTGAGAATCTGTCTCAAAACAAAGAGCAACATCTTACGGTCAAATACTATGAAGAGACGTTAAAGGATAGGAATGCCTTCAAGAACTCTAGTTTGTGATTAATCTTCATTGGAAAATTAATTATCAGAATAATCTGCCAGCAATTTAGGAAACAGAGACTCTGCAAGGTTACCTAATTTTCCTGGGCACATCTATTTATTAAAATAGCTGAGCTGGAAATTCAACCCAGGTCTGTTAGACCCCCAAGTTTGTGTTCTTTCCTCTACAGAAGGTTAAGACTTCCTTATAAAACACTGAGAATTTCTTTAAGCCAACTTTCTTTTTTTTTTTTTTTTTTTTTGAGACAGAGCCTCAAGCTGTCCCCCTGGGCAGAGTGCCGTGGCATTACAGCTCACAGCAACCTCCAACTCCTGGGCTCAAGCGAGTCTCCTGCCTCCGCCTCCCAAGTAGCTGGGACCACAGGCGCCCGCCACAACGCCCGGCTATTTTTTGGTTGCAGCCATCATTGTTGTTTGGCGGGTCCAGGCTGGGGATTCGAACCCACCACCTTAGGTGTACGTGGCTGGCGCCTTAGCCGGTTGAGCTATAGGCGCCGAGCCAAGCCAACTTTCAAAAATAAAATAACTACTTGCCCTCCCTGCATCTCATTTGGTATATTAGTTAACTTTCATCTATTATATTATTGTTTTGTGACATCATGGCTAAAATTACCATTTTCTTTTTTTCTTTTTTGCAGTTTTTGGCCGGGGCTGGGTTTGAACCTGCCACCTCCAGCATATGGGGCCGGCACCCTACCCCTTTGAATCACAGGCACTGCCCCAAATTGCCATTTTCTAACTGGAAATAAATCCTCTTTTGCACCCATCATATGCTTAAACTATATCTTAATCTTTCTTTCCTCTTCCTGACTCCCACATGTTTTATAAGGACTTAATGACTAAAAATCTAACAATAACTGATAAAAACTTAAAAGAAATGCATAAGCATCAAAACAAAACTTTGCTCCTTTAACAGCTATGATCTCTGACATTGTAATTTTCTAAATTAAGGTTATCATTATCTCTATGAAGGCACACAAAGATCTGAAATATTGAGTCATAGTCAGTAGCAATTTGAAAAAAGCCTGTTCAGTGATTTTTTTCCAGTACAGTCAAATGGTGCAAAAAATCATAGCCACAACACTAAATGACTTCTCTCTCCAGTTCAATTAGATTTATACATTATCTGAAATACTTAGTTAGGCCTCCTTGATTTAATATGAATTTGAGTGGCTTATACTATGTATCGTTTCACAGTTTTATATAAAATCATAGAAAATTAGGATGGTAAGTAGGATGGTAAGGGGCTGCCTTCAGACTTCCTCTTTTAATATGTTTTACACATTTTTGTCTTCTGATTCTATAGTTCCATTTTGTCCACATACTACATTGAAAGATCAGTTAAGACTAAATGATGCCTGGTTTCCTCCCTCCTGCAACTTTTGTAATTTAATTTAATTTTTGTAAATATTTTTCTTTTTTTTTTGAGACAGAGTCTTATTATGCTACCCTCGGTAGAGTGCTGTGGCATCACAGTTCACAGCAACCTCAAACTCTTGGGCTTAAGCGATTCTCTTGCCTTAGCCTCCCTAGTAGCTGGGAGGTGCCCACCACAATGCCTGGCTATTTTTTGTTGCAGTTGTCATTGTTGTTTAGCAGGCCTTGGGCTGGGTTCCAACCCGCCAGCCCCATTATGTGTGGCTGGCGCCCTAACCGCTAAGCTACAGGTGCTGAGCCTCTTGTAAAAATTTAATTGTAGTTATTTCTTTAACCTATTAGATACTGTCCATTCTATTTTTTTATATTTCTATTTGATAAGAGAAATGATACATTTGTGAGAGTGGTTTTCTGGGCATTCTTTGAGGTCTATATAATCTTTACTTTGGACTTTCTGAGTTAAAAAATATTGAGAATAAATGTTTTTGATGAGGATATGGAATTAGATTTCATATATTTGTGCTGAAGACCGGAGTTGAAACAGATTCTACAGTCAATCAAAAGGCATGAACACAAATAAGTTATGTTGTCAGTCCTTCTAGCAAGCCTCTTAGAGTATTAGTTACTAACACCAAACATAACAGATGTGACAATAGAGACAATGGGTTGCTCTTAATAAAGAATGTTTTCTACTCAGGGCAGCTTTAAAAAATTGTAGCTTAAATTTAGCACTGCTGAGTGTCTCTAGCCTCATGTTTAGGAGCAGTACATTTGATCATCTCTCCTGCTTCTGGGGTGGTTGGAATCACTTGCTCTTCTGTCACACCTAAGTAGTAAGGAAAAGAAGCTAAGACCCGGAGCTGAAGTCCTCCAGGTGGGTTTGGTAGCTTGGTAGCTGTTTGGGTATCTGATCTAGCCTAGCCAAAAAAACCCCCAAAATGAATTTTGTGTATATTAAAGTGTAACCCCTTCTCCTACATTCATGTCTTAATGTGCCAAAAATAAACTAATTCTTAAACTCAGGGCGTCTTTTGGTGTAGGAGGCTCATTTCAGGCAGTAAGTAACCCCTGGTGTTGTTTGGTAACATACGATGTTGGTGCAGTTTCCTTTATGTAGTGGATTTTTGCCTGGAAAGTTGTGGGTAAATTAAAGGAAATAATCAACCAGGGGAAGGCGAAACATACTTTGTGTTGACTCTTTTGTAAAACTGACAAATGCCTTCTGTAGTAAGACATTTTTATAACCTAAAAATAGTTTTATAATCCACTTGTAAATTAATTTATTTTTATTTTTTTTTTTTTTTTTGAGACAGAGCCTCAAGCTGTCCCCCTGGGTAGAGTGCCATGGCATTACAGCTCACAG